CCGATTCAACATCTGCTCAGTTTCCAGGGACCCCACAAAACGCAGACTCATGCAGGAGGCCATCCAACACCTGTTGGATATTCAAACCATAGAACCGGTTCAACCAGAATACAGAGGCAAAGGGTTTTACTCCATCCTCTTTGTAGTCCCCAAGCCTTCAGGATGATGGAGGGTAATCCTGGACCTCAAAAATCTCAACCAATACATAACATACAAAAAATTCAAGATGCAATCCCTCCAGTCAATTCTGGGAGGTATCAGACAGGGCGATTTCCTGGCATCGATAGATCTCACGGAAGCCTACTTTCACATCCCCATTCATCCAGCTCACCGCCAGTTTCTACGCTTCTGTTACGGAGGCAAACACTTCCAGTACAGGGCCCTCCCCTTCGGTCTCTCCTCAGTACCCAGGGTGTTTACAAAAATACTGGTGGTAGTAGCCGTCAAACTCAGAGAAATCCCGATACGCGTCCAATGCTATCTGGACGACATTTTGATCCAAGCAACATCCCTCCAGGTGGCTCAGGCGGACGTAAGGACCGTCATTCGTGTCCTTCAGCAGCATGGGTTCTCAGTAAACTTCCAGAAGAGCCAGACAGTTCTCTCACCCAGGCTACTGCATCTGGAAGCCATTATAGACACTTCCAAATGCATGGTCTACCTCTTCCAGGAGCGAGTGGTCAGCATCAGGGAATTGGCTCGCCTGGTATACAAACAACACACAGTTCCCCTGTTAACACTATCCCAATTGTTAGGCAAGATGGTCTCCTGCATAGCCATAGTCCCCTAGGCCAGGCTTCATCTGCAGGACCTACAGTGGTTCCTCCTTCCATTCCAACGACAGAATACCAGCGCATCCAACCGCCTAGTCAGGGTTCCGGCGCACATTCGCAGGGTGCTCCGTTGGTGGTGCTCTCGGGCGGTGACCAAGGGGTCACCCTTCAAGGAACCAGACAGGGTTACCATCATGACAGATGCCAGCCTGTACGGTTGGGGAGCCTATCTACTCTCTCACTTCGCGCAGGGACGTTGGTCCGCCGCGGAACTGAGGAACAACATCAACTGGCTAGAGCTCAGGGCAATCCATCTAGCCCTACAACACTTCAGACAGACAATCAGGGGTGGCCATGTCCTAGTCCTTACAGACAACGTGGCAGCCAAGGCACACATCAATCGTCAGGGGGGCATCAGGTCCAAGGTCCTCATGACAGAGGCACGGCTCCTGTTCGCCTGGGTAGAGTCCAGCCTGGAGTCGCTAAGGACGGAACACATATCGAGGGTCAACAACCAACAAGCGGACTTCCTGAGTCGTGCCACAGTGGATCTTTCGGAGTGGGGGCTACACCCGGACCTGTTCTTAAACATCTCCCGCAGGTTCGGTCAGCCGATCCTCGACCTGTTCGCATCGTCGGACAATGGTCAACTCCCCAGATTCTACTCCCGCTTTTTCAATCCAGGGGCGGAGGGGACGGATGCATTAAGAGTTCAGTGGCCACAAGGCCTACTTTATGCCTTTCCCCCACTTCCGCTCATACTGGCGGCCATCCGCAAATTGATACATGTGCGGGCGGAGGTGATTTTCGTGGCACCACACTGGCCACAGAGACCGTGGTTCGCAGACCTGATGAACCTGTCTCAGTCACCCCCGTGGAAGATCCCCTCTCACCGAATGTCCCTACACCAGGGAACCATCTGTCATCCGGACCCTCAATGGTTACAATTGACCGTCTGGCACTTGAGCGCCGCATAATGGCGTAGGAATTATTCTCCCATCGTGCCATTACCGTGATTCAGGCTGCACGCCGTCCGGCGACTAACCGCATATATGATTCCACTTGGAAAATTTTTTGCCGTTGGTGTAGGAGGCATCAGTTTGACATCTCCAAATTGACCATCCCTCAAATTGTAGATTATCTTTTGGATGGACTGGACAGAGGCCTCGCCCTGGCGACTATTCGCAGACAGGTGGCGGCTCTGTCCACTCTTCTCACATGTGCGGATTCGGTTCCCTTAGCTCACCATCCCAGGGTTCGCGCCTTTATCAAGGGTGCATGTAACACCGGGCCTCCAGTGGTACACAGATACCCATCTTGGGAATTGCCGCGAGTACGCTCTCATTGGACCGCCCTTCGAACCACTGGCGACCGTTTCCTTACGACACCTGTCTCTAAAGATGGCGTTCCTGATCGCCATCACATCGGCTAGGCGAATTTCTGAGCTGGCCGCACTGTGGGTCAGGAATGACCTCTGCACTTTCCACAGTGATAGGGTGGTCCTTAGGCTAGATCCTTCCTTCGTCCCGAAGGTGAACTCTCTGTTTCACAGGACACAAGAAATTGTTCTCCCAAACTTTTGCCCAAATCTGACACATGACCGGGAGCGGCAGTGGCATACATTGGACGTCCGCAGGGCATTGTGGTGTTACATGAAACGTATGGAGCCTTTCCGCAAGTCAGAGGCCCTCTTTGTGTCCTTCTGACCAGGCACTCTGGGGCGGAAAGTTTCCACTGGTATCATCGGAAGATGGATCTGGAACTGTATCGCCGAGGCGTACCAAGCCTCGTCTCTGCCGCCTCCAAGTCATCTCACTGCCCATTCCACTCGAAGTGCTGCAACTTCAGCAGCATGGGCCACTCAGGCGTCCATTGAGGAAATTTGTAGGGCCGCGACATGGTCCTCGCCTTCCTCATTTGTACGCCACTACAAGATCGACCATTTCACTTTGGCGGACACCTCCTTTGGTAGGAGGGTCCTCCAGCAAGTGATCTCCAAGGACGCCCTTCTGGCCTTATCTGTCTCCCACCCATCGGGACAGTGAGGCTTTGGTATGTCCCATTGGTGGATTATCCATCCTCCTGTACTGGAGAAGGGGCGTTGGTCTTACCTGAACGCCTTTTCTCAGTACGGAGATGGAGAATCCATACCCACCCTAGGGTCAGTTAGGCCGTTATTAGCCAATACCTCGTCAATCTTCAGCCACTTCGCCCTCGTTAAGAATGGATCCCCTGGCAAGAGGGGTCGTGTCAAATTTGGCTACTTGATTTCAAGAGTAGGCAGACAAAGAAAACCCATTGGTGGATTCTCCATCTCCGTACTGAGAAAAGGCATTCAGGTAAGACCAACGCCCCTTTTAGTTCAGATTTGTTATCCAGCTTCTTGTCTTTATCTCAGATCTCTTTGTTGATCCATCAGTTCCAGAACCAAAAAAGAGAAAAGGGTGAAGAAAATGGAAGAGAGATATGGTTTGATTGCCATTCACCCTGGGGATTTTTTTTTTAAGAATGGAAACTGGGCCTTAGCGTGCTAAAACTCAAAGAAGCCACCTGCTTGCCATATTGTGTGAATGCAGGTAAGATGTGGAATTGATGGCCAAATGGATTGAAAGGCAGGAAGTAGGGAGTACAACATCTGTAGACATAGGGAGAGGCAGGAGGGAAAGAGGCTGTATAGCACATAGCTGATGGGGAGAAGAGGCACAGACTCAAGTTCTTCCTAAGACAGGAAAAGGACATGTTGCCAAGCTTACCAGTTTGGGCAACTGATGGTAAAAATGGCACTAAGTTGCTTCTGCTGCAGTAGCCAGGCAGATGCTATAATGTAGCATGGAACGAGCAAATCCTGGACTTTTCAAAGAAGAGGGAAAGCCTGGCTGCCTGTCTATACTCAGGTTGGCAGACAAGGTAAGTCACTTCTTGGGAGGTGGCTTTGCCAACTTCTATGCCATTAGAAATCAAACGGTCTTTGCAGGAGGAAAAGACAGATGTTTTCACTCCTGCTGGGGTATTTCTGGATGAAGAGAGGTTCAGATTCCCAAGCAGTTACCCAAACAGGTAAGCTTGGCAACATATCCTTTTCCTATCTTAGGAAGAACTTGAGTCTGTACCTCTTCTGCTCATCTTCCTTCTCAGCTACCAGACTTGGATTCTTGAGCTTCTAGAAGGTAGTGCAAAAAGCCTCTCACAACTGGAGAACATCCTCTTTCTGCTGCGATTGATGGTCTTGTTAATCATTCTTCATAGGCATCGCCCAAATGTATTTTGGTGGAGAGGAGCATCACAGCACCACAACTCTTTAAAATTCCTCTTGTAATAGATATATCTTGCTGCTTTGTTACAACTTTATAGGGATCATCATCATACATAATAAGCATTATATTTGGTAAATTGTGACTTTTGGCTTACTATACTATTATTTATTCATTAAATAATGATTATATAAAGGAATCAGAATTATTTTGTTGCTCTGTCCATCCATATAATCTGTCTGATTCAGGAACATCTAATTTTCACTCATGCATTTTCTGAGACCTACTATAGAAGAATATCTGTCACAGTGAATGGAAAATTACTTTGGATTATTAACCCCTAAATGGAGAATAGAATAGAATAGAGCTGGAAGGGACCTTGGAGGTATTCTAGTCTAGCCCCCTGCTCAAGTAGGAGAACCTATACCATTTCAGACAAATGACTGACTAGTCTCTTCTTAAAGACCGCCAGTGATGGAGCACCCACGATTTCTGAAGGCAAGCTGGTCTACTGGTTAATTGTCCTCACTGTTAGGAAGTTTCTTAATTCCAGATTGCTTCTTTCTTTGATCAGTTTCCAACCATTGGGTTATATCTTACTGTGAAGATGGTATTTTCTTGTATCAGGATGAAGTTGGGATTGGTTTTGTTTGAAGAAAAAAGAGAGTAAAGATCGGTTTCTAAATAATGTTCATCTCTTCTATGTTATTGCCACCAAATGACGTCAGGGGAGGTTTGGACTCTGTTGAAACTGAGAATGGAATAAATGGAGACAATGGTTGCAGATAATTTGAAACTCAGTTTGGGGCTTACTATTAATTGAGGTTGTGTTGATTTAGAATAAATATATACTTTGTCAATGAAGGGGTTTCCCTCCTTATAGTATTTCCAGTGGAATGGAAAAAGGTTGAGAGTATGAATGATACAGAAATGAAGAGAAAAGTGGATGTTTCACTATTATCTTCCTATCTCACAGGATTGTGGCAGCTGAAGTGAGGAAACAAGTATGTCGAGAATATGACAACTCACCACAGCTTTCCAAGAAACGTGGTGGCACCCTGCAGTCGGTGAGTTATCTGGCATTATATTATGGTGAGCGATGTCAGTAAACACATCTGGTTATTAAAGTAGTAAACAAACAAACTCCAGAACTCTGGTAAGTTTTTTTGGTGTGTTTGAGAGAACTAGATACTCAGTACATAGTAGCAGAACTTATTTAAAGATAATTTCCACAACAAGCAAAGTAATTTTGAAAACTTTTATAAAACTAAAGAATTTTAAATGCAGATAGTTTGACTTAATAAAACTGTAGTACAAAACAATTCCTTCTAGCTTTATCTCCAATGTACCTTCTTTTTGCCTTTCTTAGGGTACTATTGATATGAATCAGGATTGAGCATTGTAAGTGTTCCATTAGTAGGATATGGGGATTAAATATTGTCCCCCTTCTATTGTATTGAATTTTATTAGAGGATGTGTTTGTTGGAATTGTTGCTACTGCTTCATCATCTCCAGTAAAGGTAATTTCCTCTTTCTGTCAGATAACACTAGTGCACCAGATAGTTTCTTCCTGGTCCAATGTCCTTATGTAGGAAAAGTGGAGGCAAAACAATGCCTGACATTGTTAGTTTGCTGGCTTCATGGGTGGGGTCAAGAGAGGATATTCATGTAAAATTGGAGTACTGATTATGCTGTCTCTGTGAAATGTAGCTGTTGGTGACCTGCAAAAATTGCTCTGTGCAGCTGGCAAGGGCAAGGATGCATAATTTTTCCCAGGCTGAGGGTCATATTTAGTCTTTGAGTGGCATGTTAAACATCACTCTGAAAAAAAGTTTTAACTTTAATAACACTTGCTGTTATCCTTCAGTGTTATATTAAAAATTACAATTTGGTAACTATTTTTAGAAGTCTGTAAGGATCACATCCAGGTTTTTGGAAGCCCTGACTATCAAGTTATACATGTTGCATTTAGTGGAGGCAATGTTGAGATATCTATTCTGTTAGAGCAGTGGTTCTCAACCTTTTTAATGCAACCCCCAACCGGTCGTAAGTCGAGGACTACTCAACCAGTCTTAAGTGAGGACTACTCAACTGGTGCAGCACCGTTTGCAGAATGGGACTTTTGGCGGGCTCAGCAGGGCAGAGACAGCCTGGACAATTCCTATTGGCTTTTGAAAGCCAATAGAATTAGGCTCTATTCAAGGGACTAGCACAGCTAAGGAAAAGGGGGGAAAATGGCAGACTGTGTTGTTTGGCAACCCCCATGAAATGGTCATTCGACCCCAAATGGGGTCCCGGTTGAGAACCACTGTGTTAGAGCTTGGCTGTTGTTTTTGGTTTTACCCTCTGCTTCATTTTATGTCTTAATGGACTCTCAGAAGATATCCAGTTGCTCTTTGGCAGAGAGTAAGGAAGGAGAGTTCAGTACTGCTAATTTTTAATAGACAAAAGTAGCTGCCTCTTGGATGTTTGCTAAATTTCTTTGTCCTTTGTTAATGTGGGTTTTGGGTTTGGGCATTTCTATGGTATCCATTTCCTTTCTTTCGGATTATTGCTACTCTTTTTTGGATTCTTTCAAAAGAATCCAAATCCTTGAGAATTTGTTAGAAGAAAATTTGATCTCTTGGTTAGCATGTAGCTCAACAATAAAGGGCATTTGGTAGCCAGATCCAGTGGCTGAAATTTTCTCCAATCTTTATGTTTTTTTTATTGTTTCTCATGAGAACAAATGCTTTATTTAGGTACTTTCCAAGTGACCTGTGCAAAAATTGTTGTGTCTCAGGGGAATGATGAATCCAGCAGTTGTTTCTTCTTTCTGTTTTAGTAATAATAACAAATCCACAGCACAATAATTCTCTGGATTCTGTTGTAGCTTCATTTATTAAGGGAGAAGAATTGTACATTGTGTCAAGGTTCAGCATTAGTGTTTGGGACAGGGGGCGTGTAATACTGCTGTTGGGCCCTTATGGTCCTTCTCATGTTGCATTTTAGACTTCATTGAAGCTCCATTCTAAAATGGTAGCTGTCTTTGTTGTCCTTTAAAGTAAAGAAATAGACAGTTCTCCAGCATGATGAATGTAGAATCCACCGGTGGGTAATCTCAGCCTTTCTGCTCAGATGAGACTAAGTCAGAACTTTAGCCACGCCTCCCTCTGGCTGTGCCTTCCCAGTTTTTGGCTTAGTCTCAGTTCAGTAGGACGCAATTTATTTGGCTCCTCTCTTAGACTAGGTTGAATTATTTCTTTTTTCTTTTCAGGATTGATTGGTAGGATAGTTGAATTAGCATTTACAATCTATATTCATTAGAAATTGTTTTCTCTTTCAATTTGGCTCCAAATTTGGCAAAGTATTGAGTTACAGTTGTAAGTTTCTTTTCGGCTCCAAGGAGCCTTGTAGGCTCGTTACGAGCTGAAATTCGGCCGTTCCGGGTCATCGAAGCAGATTTAGCTCCAGTCCAGCTGATCAGCACGAAAGAAGGAGACTTCTTGTTACTGGTGATTCCTCGGAGCTCAGTTAGGCCGGACGGCCTCATTCTAATCGCATCATTGCCACGAGGTCTCAACTGAACCAGGCGGTGCTCCGGATCACAGCAGAGGCTGCGCGACTCAACCGCAGGTTTTGCTGCCTCTTTTAGCGAATGGGGAAAGAAGGGCCTTATTTAAGATTAGCTCCCTCAGATTCCTCCTCAATTTGGACAGGCCTAAATAGCCTTTCTAGTTTCCTGGCATGGTCGCCATTTTGGGAGGCGAGGATGAATTAGCGGCCGCCATTTTGAGACCATCAACAAGCATGGCCGCCATTTTGAAGGGACCTTGTGTACCTTAGGGGTACTGTTGGGCCTGCTTTCCAACTTGTTTCAGCCTGTTGTATCAGGCTGCTAACAGAAGGACTTCTTCAGTGCTCCTTCTGGCCAGAATTCTTTACATTATCGAAGAGGAAACCAGGCAGAAGGGTGCGGCAGCCATTTTGAATTTCATTAATTGATCCTATTTATTCATTACATCACATATTCTATTTCTTTCTGTATCAACTCTGCAAGGGGGAATTATAATTAGAATCCACCTATTCCAATTAGTTTGTGGCGCTGTGCTGCAAGGCCTAGACAGGCAGTTCTAGTGGACTGTCTGGCTGTTTGCCATTGCTGTTGTTCAGAGCGCGGGAATTTCCCTCTCTGACAACCAGATCTGCGTCTTAGCTTCCCCCCATTTCTGGACATCTCCTACCCGGAATATCCAGGGTGCAATGGCAGACAGTGCATCGCTCCAAGCATCCCAGGACTCTGAGGTTTCCTCCGCACAAAGAAAGCGCAGATCATCTGATTTGGAAGTGGGGGGAAAGAAAAAACCTAAAACAAAGGCCCCATCCTCAAAAGAGTCCTCCAAAGCAGCCGAGCGAGAGGCCTCGAGGAGACATCAGGCGCTAGAGAAAGAGTTCTTCAGAGCTCAAAGGCTCATGTCCAGGGAAGCAGAAATGGTTTCCCCTGTTTCACTGGACTGCTCCCCATTTGAGCCTCAATTCGCGCCTCCCCATGATGCCCCTAGGGCGTGGTCTCCTCAGGAGGAAACTGAATAGGTTGGTCCTCCTCTTTCTTCCTCTTCCACTATACAACAAGCTCCTGAAGCCACGTATACTCCCACTGCAGCTGGTGTTCGTTCTACAGACCAATAGGGCATATGGTTGGAGCAGTTTCAGGCATTCATGCACCATGCGTTCGCACAATTTATGGCCTCCTCCATGGGCAACGGCCCTCGCAGGTAACACTTCCTCCACCCATACCTTTGCCTCAAGCAGGGCGTGCTCTGTTAACCGGCTCTGGCAATTCTGAGACATCTTCTCAGTTGGGTGAGGAAGGGTCCATGGATCTTGAGACAGCTGACATGCCCATGTCAGAGGATGAGGAGGCGGGGCCGGAACCGGCATCGACATCTGGCCTCTTTGATCCTTCCCTATTCAGGTCACTACTCATGAAGGCCTGTACCATGGCCAAACTAGCTCCTGAACAGGAGCCTAAGCCATCTACCTCCACTACACAAGAATTGAATCCCTTGTTTTCAAAGCAAGTGGTGGAGGAGAAACAAATTCCTTGCCCCAATGTCTTCCACACCATGGTGGAGAAACAGTGGTCTTCATTGGCCACTCTGCCTTCTCCCAATAGCACAGAAAAGAAGCTTTTCAATGTTTCCTCTTCATTTTCTTCCCTCTTGGAAGTGCCTACTGTGGACGCTCCACTAACTTCATCAACAATTCCAGGGGATATGGCAGAGGCCCTAAAGGCGGAGGACAAGAGGTTCGAGTTTTCTCTCCGCAGAGCCCACCAGGCCTTGGCATGGGCGATTAAGGCAGCAACATCTTCGTCTTTCTTCGCAAGGGCATCCATCATGTGGCTTCGCAAACTCCAGGCCCTCATTCCTCCTGACCAGGTGCGAGCACACCAGACATTGGGAAAGTTAGTTGCAGCATCTGAATACATGGCAGACGCATCACTCCATTCAGCCAGGTATTCCGCCAGGTCCATTGCGGCCACAGTCTCTTCTCGCAGACTGCTGTGGTTGAAACAGTGGTGGACCGACTTGAAATCCAAGCGGCAACTATTGACAGCCACGTACAGTGGAACACATTTATTCGGTCCAGTTCTCGAACCGTACCTTATAGAGGGAAAGGATAAGCACAAGATTCTGGCGCATCCCTCTAAGAGGTCGGATAGGAGGCCTCAACAGGACTTTCGTAGACAGCCCTTTCGCATGGGAGGTACCTGGGAGTGGAGGCAGCCCTTTCGGGCAGGGCAGTCCTGGGAATGGCCCAAAGGTTCTCGATCCTTTCCCCCCAGACAGGATCGACAGCAGGACCACCAAAACCCTGGAACCAAGGGTCAATTTCAGTCCAAACGTCCCTTCTGTGGATTGGGGGGGTCATCCTTACAGGCGGACCAAGTGACGCCAAGGAGGACGCTCCTATAGGCGGTCGCTTGTCACTGTTCAGCGACACTTGGGAGGTCACCATCACCGACTCTTGGGTGAGAGATACCATAAGATACGGTCTCGCCTTAGAGTTTTTCTCCAATCCCCCA